CAACAGGAGACACAGTGTTCCACGCCGTGGGTGAAGCGACCTCGGTGTCATGGGCGGCCGGCACGTGGATGGTGGAGTACGGCCGTGGCTTCATTCCCTCCACCTTGACCTTTGCCCTGGCCGACTCGTTCTTCAGCACCACGGACCTGCTCACCGTCTTCTACACCGTCAAGGTCTACGCCAAAGCGCTGCTGCTGGAGGCAGGGTTTTACATCGGGACTTGGTGACGATTTCTTCAAACTTAGTGTGTGATTTTATACATCGTCTTAGGTATTTCTGTGCCTTTACAGGCAATGTTCTCAATTTCTTTGTTCCTGTCTCAAGGTTTTATTTCTTCTTTGATGAAATTATACTTTTTTTTTTTTTTTTTTTAAAGAAAAGTTTCTGTTGTAGGTTATAGCTATCAGGTATAGATCTACCATAGTTGCTTGTCAAGTTTCTGTTGTTCAAAAAGAGAATTTGTCGTTTTATGGAATTTTTTGTTTGTTTACTGAATACCTGGTATTTGAAAATTTCTCAGTTGGCCTATACTAATGTAGAGTAGGTAGGGTCTACCATACTGAGCACAATTCATACTTTTACTTTTACATTTTGTGCTGATATTTCTTGGAAAGTTTTTACTTTGCTTGATTACCGGTACATCATTTTGCCAGCACTACCTGACAATGGTTTTATTTTATTATTACCTACCTCCACCATTTTGTTCCTAACTTTTTTTTCTTTAGTATATATACATATACAGAGTTATGCGGAAAGCAGCAAAAGTTATTTTTAGTTCTCTCCTCTCTTTCTCTGAGTTACAACAACATTAGTAGGCCTATATTGTGAACGCATTAGAAGCGATGACTGTTGACACTCGACACCCATTGAGGTCTCAGTAGCTGATGGTAACAGCTGTTCACGGGCAATGCTTTATTTGTAAAAAAGCAAGAACCAACAGGAGGTAGAACCATTCAATGTAATGTGACCGGCAATACGAGCTATTCAGTTTCTGTCATCTGTGCAAGAATATATATATTATATTATACATAATGTTGTATGACCGTCTGATCACTATTCATGTGTGTGTGTGTGTTAGTGTAATTGTATATTGTGTGTGTGTGTGTGTGTGTGTGTGTGTGTGTGTGTGTGTGTGTGTGTGTGCGATGTAATAGTAAGTGTGTGTTTGTGTGTAAGTGTGTGTGTGTGCATATCATGTATACGTATATATATGTATAAATTAAGTGTGTGTGTGATGTAATAGATTGATGGTTTAGCTGGCTACATTGTAACCATGGGTGGTATAGCTGGCTACATTGTGGGGAGTAACCATGGGTGGTTTAGCTGGCTACATTGTAACCATGGGTGGTTTAGCTGGCTACATTGTAACCATGCATGGTTTAGCTGGCTACATTGTGGGGAGTAACCATGGGTGGTTTAGTTGGCTACATTGTGGGGGGTAACCATGGGTGGTTTAGCTGGCTACATTGTGGGGAGTAACCATGGGTGGTTTAGCTGGCTACATTGTGGGGAGTAACCATGGGTGGTTTAGCTGGCTACATTGTTCTGTAGTTTGTGCCTGATGTAGTGGTCTTGTAGCTTGTTTTACATGGAAGGGGAGAGAGGGGATGGGTTATATTTTGATTTTGATTTGAGAAGTTGATCTCTGTTTAATTGTTTTGTGTGATTGATTTTTGTGGGGGTTTGGATGCGTCATTTGTGTTTTACTCTCATTTCCTTCATTCGAAGTATCTTGAACAGAACAGTTTTAAGTAGTTCTTCACTTACGTCTGTCTTTGACTTTGTTGTGCCATGTTTGACGTGCTGACGTGCTGACGTGTAGTGTAGTGTGTGTGCGGTTTTGTAGAGATGTTAATTAATCAGATCATGAGATAATAAAGAAAGTTTCCGTCTATTGTGCCATGCTGTTGTCTGCTGTCTACCGGGACGTACGTTCCCTCAGCTTTACTACGTGCCTGGAGTACTTCAATGGTATAGAGTTATGTCTGCCGACGTACACCATTTATATACTGTGTACATGTGTGACCTAATTTAATTTAAAGACTTTTTAACCTTTTTGATACACATTTGTGAAATTAATGAGTTTTTGAGGCCTTTAATGCCTGTATTTTTACAAAAATGAAGGAGCTGTGCGAACAGTGTATACTCTCACCTCTCTGTCTGTCCTTGTATTGGGTACTATCGGCAGCAAGCTGTCAGTTCTAAGCCCACAAAACAAACATTTTTGGAGGGAGAAAAATAACCCACTGCATCATTTTTTTTATTTTTTTAAAAATCAAGTGTCCATCTTGTATCTTTTCTGATTTTTTTTTCAACGTTTGGACAAAATGTTTATGAAGTACATGAGAACAATACTACAGATTAAGAAATTACATTTGAAAAAAATCCTCATTTTGGGCAAAGAACGTGTAAACAGCAGGTGGGGGATATGTGGACATCATACTACATGACTAGACACAGTGTGTCCTAGTTTCTAGTGTGTCATTTGTGAGTACTGTTGGTTTACAGACAGTGTGTCCTAGTGTGTCGTCTGAGCACTGTTTGTTTACAGACACAGTGTGTCCTGAGTGTGTCGTTTGTGAGTAATGATGGTTTTCTTCATGCCATGGGAGATTAAAATTTTTCTACAGGACTTTTTGTGTCATGTAATTTTTGTAATGTTTTTGAACGTGTCTCAGCTAATAAAATTTTGGAAAATAAGCTACTCGTGAACAAATCATGGTGTTGACTTGCCATTTTTTGTGTCCTTCAGTTTGACAAGCTGCAATTGGTGGGTGGTTGGCGGGTGCTCTGGTGTGGTTTGTTCCTTTCCTGTCAAACATCTATCATCCTTATCTCCTCTCCTTCTTTTTTGTGTTTGTTACTCTCTTGTAACACATCCAATCTTCGGCACTAAAATGACCTAGTTGTGTTGCAAGTGCCGTAAAACTCTCACTAAAACTAGAAGCTGTAAGTGGCGGGCGTCTGGAGGAAAAGGGTGGGAGGTCTGGACAGTGGACATGAATGTGCATGTGGAGTGACCACTGGATGCTCTACTCTATTGCTGGGGAGAGAGATGGGACTACTGACACTGTACTAAAGTGTCAGACTGGAGGTGTATGGGTTTAACAGGCCTATCAACACTGTACCTGTATCTTGTCAACAGTCCTCTTTCAAAATTATATGTGAGTGGTTGGCGGGTGCTCTGGTGTGGTTTGCTTCTTCTTTGAATCTTTCCTATCAAACATCTATCTTCTTTATCTCCCCTCCTTCTTTTTTTGTTTGTTACTCTCTTGTAACACCTCTAATCTTCAGCACTTATATTACCTTATTGTGTTGCAAGTGCCGGAAAACACATACTAAAACTAAAAACTGTATATTGTATGGGTTTAACAGTCCTATACTGTATCTCTGTTTGACAGTCCTATCAACACTATATTGTATGAGTTTAACAGTCCTATCAACACTATACTATTGTATGAGTTTAACAACAGTCCTATCAACACTATGATATTGTATGAGTTTTTACAGTCCTATCAACACTATTATATGATGTTCAAGAGCCGGGACCAATTAATTCATAAACATTCTTCTTCAATATGACAAGTTGGTGGAGAGTTTTGAAAATTCCACAAACGACCAAAGTTCGTGAACACTCAGTTTGTGATTCAAACCAGGGCCATCAGCTCCAGAGACAGGCCTAGAATGGTGAGGACGACGAGAAAAGAGAAGCCATGATCTTGGCGTAGCTTGAGCATGTGTGTGTGTTTGTGTGTGTGTGTGCGTATAAGCCAGGTGCGTGCCTGTGTGTGTGTGTGTGTGTGTGTGTGTGTGTGTGTGTGTGTGTGTGTGTGCGTGCGTGTGGGGGGGGGGGGGTCTGTGTGTGTGTGCGAGTGCGTGTGTGTGCGCGCTCGCGTGTGTGTGTGTGTGTGTGTGTGTGTGTGTGTGTGTGTTCGTTTGAGTGTGTGTGTGTGTTTGTATGGAGGGGCCAGGAGTGGCCTGCTGGAGGAGAGATTCCGTGCATGGTGCACGCACCACCAGTCTTTGTCTCCGGACTTGTCCCAGTCATAGGAGCGCACGTCGTCAACATTGTGTCGTCAGAATTATTCTCTTTGTTATAGTAAGGTTTAACGGCGCTCGCAACGGCATGCGGTCATATGAGCGCCAAGGGATGGATGTCAACAGAGAAGTCCAAACGGGGAATCAGACTTACTCTGCTCACCTCTCTAGCTTCAACAGCTCAAAGTCTGCTTCGACTATCAAGGCACCTCGGAAATAGCAGTTCACAAGAGAGTAACAAACTTACAAAAGAAGAGGAAAAATGATGAGGAAAGAAAAATATAGCAGCAGTTCCCCCTATAATGTTCCGGCACAGTATGAGCATGACATTGATAAATCAGCCCATTTACAATTCGACTGCATCCTATGGGAATTGTTTAAAGAAAACTTCAGTCAGTAGCACTGCCCTGGGGAGAATTACTTTCAACTCTGGGAAAAGCCCCGAATCCGATTATAATAAAAGAAACGGAATTGAGAAGATTAAAAGCAGAACCTCTGCCTCCTCGACCCAACACTCCGCTGTCTCTGGGCAATTTTGTATATGACGGACTGACAAATCAGAAGACTTTTGTACTTTCATCCACCCCTATGTAGGCATATCCCAGTATGGATGTATTCCAAATTTTGAAGTTATAGGCTCTTGCAGACTTTGTGACGGACTGACGTTGTGTCAACCTGGTGTTTTAGGTATTGAACAGCGTGATAGACCCACATTGCTCTGACAATTGAAGAGGCAGTCCACTTGTTTAGTTATGAGGATGGTGAATGGTTGGACTATGGTATTTTTACCAAACACATAAAGTTTGAGTAAATCCGAACTGAGCTATCTAACATATGGTGAGTGCGACTGACGGACATCTCTGACTGTATGACTTAAAACAAGACATAATTAAAACAAAACAAATCAACAGTTTTGTGCCTTTGCATCAACTTAACAAGTTAAACATAGTAGCAGACTATGATGGATATCAATGGATTTTTTTGGTTTGTTTTGTTTGTTTAGTATAGGGTTTTACGGCGCTCGCAACTGCATAAGGTCATATGAGCGCGCGGGACACACCTAATACTTTTTCGTTGGTAGGAAATTTTGAATTTTGCCCGGGTGGCGGCCGAAGCCTACTCTTATCGATTTTAGACCACCAAGGGATCTTTAACGTGCGCAACTTGCACACGGGCCCTCCGAGATTTTTCGCCCTTGTCCGAGAAGGCTAGGAGTAGATCTTTCCTACCAGAAGATCAGGGGTGCGGTATAAAGATAGCTGTAAGAAGGAGTCAAGGAGTAACAGTAGAAAGGCTGCAGAAAGAGTCAGGAGCCCAGAGGAGGGGGCAAGG